GGAAACTACAATGCCGACTTTAGGACTCTAATTATTTTGTTGCATTCTTTTAGACACCTTTAATGTAACTATTACAATACACATTTCTTATACATTTTTCAAAAGCGTAGGGTGGTTCTGCACTTAGCCCCAGAAATTTAATTGGCCCGCGAAAGTAACGAAATAAAATTGAGTTGTGCTGCCGAGGTCAGAGGCTATAATTCCGCCAAATATGTACTTCCCCGCGAACCCATTTCCTTGGCCACTTTTTGGGGCAATTCTCGCCTTGGCGCCCTCCTCCGAACTGCAATTACCAGTTAAACCAACTAAGGCACACCGAACAAGCTGAAAAGGAAGTTACTTCGGCATCCTGCCGCTGCTTCCAAAAGCCCCAAGAATCGCACAGCCCAAGTCCTTTTCGTCGTGGGCTACTTACAAAGTTTGCACCAAGTTTGTAGTTTGTGTGAATATTTTTGTGGGACTATTTTGGATAATACCTCGTTGACTGCACGTTGCGTATTTCAATTTGCACTCGCTTAATTATATTTCCCAAGCTACCAGATAAGTTTATAGCTGTTTTCAAATAGCTTGTCGAGCGGAAACGAGAAAGAACTACTTGGATGCAAGGGAAAACTTTAACCAAACAAATTAAGAATTTATTCCCAGAACACTATATTCAAAATCACCATCATCCTAACCAATCCTTTCTAATCTAGGAATCCGTTTTTCCGGCTAAAATGCTTCAATCCATGCAAAATTGTTTACTTTCTGGCAATAATCAAAGGATGCTCCATTTCAGCCCCTCGCCACACTGATGGGCTTATCCGTTTGATGATTTTCCATTTAATTCATAAATATTTGATTACATCAACAATCGAACCTCTGCATCATTCATTACCCATCAATGCAAATTGGCGTTGAGAATGTCAGACTGTCGGAACGGAAAGCAAAGTTCCCAAAAGAACGGCAGACAAAAACAATTCACAACATCATCATCGTAGTCGTCATGGCATGCAGGCAAAATAAATTTTAAATTATAATCAATAATGTATATTGGACTTTTGGTAGCTGAAATCAGAAGTGAAAAAATTTCCTCATGCATGGAATGCTGCATTGCTATGGATGAACTCGAATGGCATTGATGAAATGGACCGTTTTCATGTGGATTAATTTATAATATGTGCATATATGGGTCAGACATCTGCAGAGAGAATTTTTGTGGTAAATTCTTGTGGTAAGCCATCGGACGTAAATCAAATTATTGAAAACACATGTTAATATAAATGAAAAAAAAATATGTTTTTCTTTATACCTAAAAAATATATTTATTATAAGTGATGATGATGAGCACGTATATATTTTTAAGGAATTTATTTGATTTATTTTGCTGCCTTTTATTCTGACTCAAGTTAAATTTCCTATCGCTGCATCTTTAAACTCCAAAGAATTTTCCGCATGCAATGCAAGTGATAACTTTTGACATCCTGAGGTCACAATGGAGCTGCGGAATCCGAACCGTTTGGACCGTTCGACGACGTGTTGGTCCTCAAATCGAGCCACTCGGGAATTATGGAACGAAAACACAATGCTGAAATGCGCAAAAATAAAAAGTAAGCCAAGAGAAAAACCCACAACAGCGACGAAACAAATGGGCCCAGGTTCAGTTGCCTTGTTTCTGGCTTCCTGTTTCACTTTTGCTGCACTCTGTGGATTTTTTTAATTAAACCAAGCGACAATTTGACATCAATATCGAAATTAAGATCTTGCAGAGGCCGTAAAAAATACAAAACAGGCGCAAAAAAACGAGCTCAAAAATGAAAGGGAAGTTATCAGAGCGCCACCTCGATTTCTACAATGGCCGAGTGTGAGAGCGGGACAACAACTTCCGTCACATGCTGAAAAAGCGGATATCCGGTACAACAAATTTCTGTTGTGCTCGTTTCGAACTTCAGTTAAGGGGCACACAAAGATTTCAGGGTATCCAAGGCATTTGAAAAGACAAAAATCCAATAAAATTCTTAATTTAAAAAAATGTTAATTGTGTACAAAAACATTTATCAGATCCATTTTTTTAGACTATAAAAATTCTTATACATTAATATGTAACTTAAAAGTTTTGAGCACCAATTTATTTACCTTTATATTTAAGTCAATACTTACTTCTTACTTAATTAATTCTTAAATGTATTTAAGAACTTTTTTTCGAACAATGAGCGAGTTTTTCTCCAGTTTACATTTTTCCTGATTTTTGCAGAGCATCGCAAGCCAATATTTTCCCACAACTTTTCCCGGCATTCTTGTATTTTCGCAACATTTCACTTTTGTTTTGTCGTTTTCAATTTGCTTTCGTCCTTCGTTCGCTTATTGCTTCTGTTTATGTGTAAATCGTCGGCTGGGGGCGGATTGTGTGGGTGGGCGTGGCCGTGCCGGATATTGATGTGTTATATGCGATGTTGTGACTGCAATATATTTGCCAAATGACTGTTGATGCCTCGTCTTTCCCATCCCCAACAACATCGAGCACTCGGGTGCCGAGTCCCCATTACCCCCGGAAAAACAGCAAAGGGAGATAAAGGTCCACACACGAGGCTGCGGATGCAGGAGCAATAAAAATTTTCGGTTCGCAGGACTCGAGATGGGGAAATAATTGCGGCCCCTGAAAGTGTTGCCATAAAAATGCAAATGCCAAATGCCGCAAAGTTGCGAATGAGCCCGGGGAAACAAATAATAATGAAACCCCTGACAGGGCCAACATAAATCCGTTCTGGCATATATAACAAATGACAAAATGAAGAGTTGAAAGGGTAAGGGAACAAATCGAACAAAGGGGATAAATAACCGTCGCTTTTGACTTTTAAAGTCATACATTCACGAGTGGAAATTCGAGGCAGTCAATTTTTACTGGCAGTGTTATTATTTATCCCTTTGGACCTATCAAATCGTCATAAAAAATGGGAAAAAAATACAATTTTAATCTATGATTCAGTGTCAGGTCGAATGGCAACAGCTTGTCAGATCAATCGAAAATAAATAATATCAAAATTCCAATCAACGGATTAAAGTTTATAGGCTTATGATTACCAACAAATTTTTGTATTAAATATTAAATTGCGATTTAAAATTAATAAGTGGCATTTACACAGGCTGGCAAAAATGTTATCAAATTTTAGAAACTATAATTTGTATGCAGAATTTAATAATAAATTAAATTTTTATTGGTAAAGAATAGTAAAAAAACTTTTAAACTTACAAAAACTTTTTGGGTTATGGCCCAGGGTTATTAGATCCCCCTTTTCAAATCAAATCCACGTCATTATATGATTCCAACTTACTCATAACTTCTTTTCTAGCTCAGCAACTTTGATAAGTGCATCTTCTCTATCATAATCAACAACTTCCCCATCTTTTCATTTAAAGTTATATTATGATGTTTGCGTATGTAAAGTTTCTAATTAAGTTGAGTCACTAGAAATATGTACAAAAAGGATATGGTCTTTCATATGACTACAAGTTTGAGCAAACATTTAGTCTGAATCCAATGGAAAACGATGTACATTTAAATTATTACAAAATTTCTCAAAATTAAAAATCTTCTAATAAATGTAAGAAGAACTTAGGACTGCTTTTACTTTAGTAAAATTTAGCTATTGATTTTCTTTTTTCTAATTCTAAATGTGGGCCAGATGCTACACAAAATGGCGAGGAAGAGGGCGTATCTATTGCAGTTTAGCTGCCTTCAGCTGCGTTTTGTTACATAAAAGCTAAAACTTTGCCAAAGCGAAGTTTTTGTATCTTAGCTGCGTTCATGTATCTGTATATATTGCATTTGTATCTGGTTCCCAGTGTTGCAGCAATCAGAATGGTCTGTACTGTGTGTGTTTTCTCTCATCTAATTGCAGTTGGAAATTGTTAGGCGGCTTTTCAAGTTTTTAATTGAATTTCGCTATTGCCCAGACTTGCCTTCAATGAAAAGCATTCATGGAACTGTATCGTTTTCCTTTTTAAGTTTTCTTTTAATAATCTGTTTTTTTCACAAATATGCAAAAAGGAAAATAATACAACTTTTCGCTTTTTGCGTGTATCAAATAACAATTACTAGGGCAAAAGACAAATACAAAATTTGATATGAAAAACAAATAAGAATATATTTTCCTCTCAAACGTTTCCCCCTTTAGCATATTTATATTTGCTTTATGCTATTTGCCCTCGTCTTGCGTTGTCCTTGAGAAGAGCTTACCAGGGAAATATGAGAAAATTTGCACAAAGCTTTTCGCAATAATGCCCGGCGGACTCAAAAAAGACAATCACCTGGTTGCTGGGGGTTGAATGGGGTTGCAGATTGGCTGCCGGGGGTTAAGTGTTTGTTATTATCTGTTTATTGAAATTGCGTATCAAATGTTCCTTTTCAATCGAAAGGGCAGGGAAAATCCACAGGGAATTGTGCAGGATTCCCATTCAACAAAGTAAACAAGAACACAAAAATGAAAATCATTATCGTGAATAATATAAAAATAATTGTTGACAGTAGTTAAGAAAGTATAAAAATATTTGTTATAAATGTACTGGTACCCATAATATTTGTATTAGTATTTAACCCTATTTGCCAACTAAATTTAAAAAGCCTTAATAATAATCTAAAGAGTACCCACACATTAGTATTAAAAATCCAAAACCTTTCTCAAGAAAAATGAGGTATGCGTAGCTAAATGCAGTGAGTATAAATAATATTATAAATTAAATATGGATAAAAATGACAATAAAAATTTCCAGAGAGAAAGTTTAAACAAGTGTTTTGTTTTTGGTGCAAGATGAATTACCACGAAAACAATATGCCGTTGAACTCTGTGAATGGCGGCTATAATTACCAGACTTATATATATGCTAGTAATGGACACAAAAGAATGCTTTAGTCGCAGATATTGTTTTCCCATTAAAGTCAAATTATTCGGCGCTCTACACGTTTAGTCATTTCAAGTCAGCCAAAGGCAACAGGTTATAAAGTCCTTTTAAGAAAACCTAAAATGCAGTTTTATTCCATTATCTGCTTAATTTTTTCCTTACTTGGTTGTGTTTTATCTCTAAAAAATCGTAAGTGTAATGTTTATGCTTATAATATAAATAAAAAATTAATATTTAATATTTTTCTTTATCACTAAGCTATCTGTGGTGTTAAATATGAAGGCGTCGGCCCATGTAAAATGTTAATTACGAAAATCGTTTATATACCAAGCCAAAACATTTGCAAGACGGTGCACATAGGTGGATGTTCAGCTAAAGGAACTTTCTTTAAGAGTATTAAAGAATGTGAAACAAGGTGCAAGGAATAGACTAATAAATTGTAGAGGTAATATAAAAATAAACAAACCGAAAAATCCAAAGCACGTCTTTTATTTGCAATTATTGAAAAATGGAAATCTTTTGAATGCAGGTATAATTCTATTAGTCGCGGTTATTAATTAATATAAGCAACAAATAGTGTAGTGTTTCTGTTCTTTTAGTCGTTATACATCAGTCGAAAAGAATTGCTTTGTCTGCTCTTTAAGAAATACCTCAAAATGTATATATTTTCAATTCTCTGCTTGCTTTCTATACTTGGTTCTCTTTTGGCTCTGAAAAATCGTGAGTATTTACAAATAAAAAAAATATATTTCATAATATTTGTAAATTTTTAGCAATCTGCGCTGACAGTTTGCTTGGCTTTGGGGTATGTAATACTATAATTACTCGAATTGGTTATAACCCTTGGACCAACGACTGCACATCAAAGAACTTCGTGGCATGTGGTGTCTACGGAACTGCTTACAATAGTATAAAGGAGTGTGAAGATAAATGTAAAGAGTAAAGATAAGAAATAAAGGGGACATCTAAAACAGGTTCTAAAAAATTGGGAGTAACCGAGATCTTAATGGTAATGCAGTTGATTTAAACGAATTTAATTGGTCGCAGATATGTAAATCAATTTTAAATCGTTCAGTGTGCTGATCCTAAGTCATTTCACATCTTCCGAGAGTGTGTCAGGAAATTTACTTATTTTTTAATTTAAATATAAAGTAATCTATTTTGTTTATTTTCTAGCAATCAACGTGAAGAGATTTAAAGGGTTAGCTAAAACTTTTCCTATTTGTCAGAAAGTCGTTAAGACATCAACAACTTCGCTCCTGTTGCCTTCTTCTCCTCATCGCTCCATACACCCTTTAGCCATTTTTGTATTCATATTTCGTTTTTTTTAGAAAACTTATGCCCAGGGCAAAACTAAAGCCATGAAAGCATAATGACAACCCCGACGACAAGTGCGCGTAATGGCTGAATAACAACAAAGTTGAGAAGTGGAAGAAATGGCAGCAGGACGAAGGACGAAAGAGAAGGGAATAAAACTTGGTAGACAATTAGCAATGGGGCGCAAATGTGCATTTTTCGGATTCCAGTCCGGTTTTTCTTCGAAACGGAGAACAAAAATTTGGAGTATAAAGCCACTAAAACTAAAATAATATATGAGTTTAGACCGAAAATGTTAAACACTAAATTTATTCCAATAACAGGGTTATGTGGCAATTTTAAATGAATTAAATTATATTCCATTATAATTTTAATATTTTCGGAAAAATTTTTGATAACAAAATTATTTATATTAAACTCAGGTTACTTAACAGTTCTAGGATTTTTGCCATTCTTTTAAATGTTACTTATTTTTTCTCGATTTTTAAGTCAATTTTATTTTCTTCAAGTGCAGCTATTTTGAAGCCTCCATCGCGACAACATTAATTAGATTAAAATGCCTACAAATCATTTTGGAACGGCACCCGAGTGGCAGCCTTTGGATTTCGCAGCGAGTAAGCTCGGTAAGCTCACACATTATTCACACGCTTCGGAGCGCGCAATTTCCCGCCATTTCACAAAATGCAAATTGCGCACAACCAAAACAAGATGGAAAAATACGGAATAAAAATCGGTGCAAGCCCCGAGCAATTTAAAGCAGTGCCGAGCAGGGATAACACAATCGAAATCAGTCCGAAAATAGAAAGAAAAAAAAGAAAACAGCACCGGGGGTCCATCCCGAAACAATTACAAAACTATAAGCCTCCAAAGGATTCGCGCCGCAAATAAACAAAAAATGCAAATCGGCTAGGAGTCACTACATAAAAGGGGGTATGGAAAACCAGGGGAATCCCCCAGAGATATCCACACAAATTGTACGTTATCAGCAGTGGGATCGACTTTGGTGTTGCCCTGCAATAAGCGGGTCTTAATTGGGTTCTCACACCCCCGAAAAGATTTTGGCCATGTTATATGGAGTAATTTGGTATCTGTGCGAAAAAAATCTCTGGCCAGCATAATTAAAGAGTGCCATGAGTAATGGCCCCTGGCTAAGATGTGAGCTCACAAAGCTCATGTTAATTACAGAATAAGTCCCTTTTCGTATGGCAACAATGTGTGGATTTACTTGGGACTCAACGCCCAGCCAAGTCGTTTAAAAAATCCTTAGCAACGAAATTTCTCTGATTCGTACATTACAGAATTTTTTTAAAACAGTTTTTTAAACATTTTTAATTTTCTGTTGAATTAACAGAGTATAAAAAAATGAAATATATTTACTATTTATAAGGTAACTGTTCCTGCTTTTTATTTTTGTCTTAAAAATATATAAATACAGCATACAAAAGGTATCTGTTTTACTAGTCGTATACTTGATTTCAAAACCCAACGAATGTATTTTTGCAATATGGTTCTTTTTACACCGACATTGTAATTTATCGATCCTGTTATTTAAAAAAAAATTAAATAAAATAAAAATGGGAAATACATTTCTGAAGTAGAATGCCTTTTAACATTTTTATTTTATTTTCCTTTGCCCAACCCTCAATTAAACCGAACAATTACTCACAGCGTGCTGGCTGGCAGAGCACTTTCCGCAACTGACAGACTGAAGAGTAAAGTCCCCTGCCGTTTATAGTCGCCAACTTCCAACATCCCCCTCTGCTTAACACATTCAATAAATAAAAGGGGGAATTTCACTTTCAGCTCAACACTTTACCCAGAAACACTTGCACTCCTTTCGAAGGGACGATGCTGAGGCATCCTTTTGGCCAAAGCCCTGCTTTCCGGCCTTTGTTTTTGCGCTTTTGTTGTTAGGGTGCCGCAAAATGCCTTAATCATGGCTCGTAAATCTTTGATGTTTCATTTGTGCCAAAAGCGCTAAGCGATTTTTAAAATGTCTGTGGGCTGGTTAATCCGCAATACCATAAATTATGGGCTCCAAATGCGGCAATTTCTTCTGTTACATTACACTCGAGTTTAACTCGGGGAAAGTCTATCTAAAACTGCCTTTTGCGATTCCCCAATCGAATTCGATTCAATTTGATGCAAAACAAAAAATAAAAATGCACAAGTTTTGCTTGATTTCATCTCCCCCTTTTGGCAAAGGCCAAAAAAGCGCAAGGCAAGCCAAGGCAAAGCAAAGCAAATCGAAGTGGAAAATGCTGCATAGAGCAGCAAATATCTAGAATAAATTGAATATAAATACGAAATAAAAGGGAATTTGATTCGAGCAAGTTCCAGGACTCTCCCTCTCTGATTCGCCATAGTTGATTGAAAAGGATTATGGCAAGTGGTTTTTCCCCAACTTCATCTTTCACGTTGCCAACTTGGCCAACTGGCTGGTATTGTGGCAATTCCGATCTTTAGTAATTGGCCCTGTGGGGCAAAGAGAGGAAATAAAATCGTCAGCCAATTCGCTGCCGAGTGCTTCGCATTTTTGTGCAGCAGTCTCTGTTTCAGCTGCAGGAGCTCTTCAAGTGCATTCCAATTAAGTGCGCTGGGTAACAGTAAAAGCTTTCTATTCCCACAAATTTTCCCGCTTTTCTCGCGCTTTCCTCCCGCTCGCTTTTCCCGGATGCCCGCGCTTAATGGCCCGGCCGCAAGTGTCGCTTGCGCTTTTGGGGTTTTCCGTTTTTGGGTAGGCGTACCGTACCTTCCGACGCAAGTGCGGTCAGCTTAATTACGAGTGCTTTAATCGGTTTACAGAAGCCATCAAGTAGCTTTAATGGGATAACAATTTTGGCAGCTCCCTGCATTAAGTGGGAAAATAGTTTGAAGACATTACAAAAAGTTAGGGCTAAACAAAAGTTAGAAAACTTATAAAAAAAAATTCATCAAAATAAAATAAAATGTAAAAAAAATTATAAAATATAAAAAAACAAAGCACTCAAAACTAAAGCCGTTTTTTTTATTTTTGGAAAGAATTCCTCGGACTTTCGGACTTAAAATTTATTGTTGCCTACTTTTAGACGCCTTTATAAGAAGATTTAAAAGTAATTTTTAAACCACCCTGTCTTTTTTTATAGCAAGAATACAACTATTTACTATAAAAGAGATCTTTTTGAAGTAATAATAAAAATATAAAATAACTTTTACTAAAAATGCGGATAAATAAATGAAAGTTAAAATATACATCTTGTCAATTTTCTACCTAAGATTTTTTTAAAAGATTATCTTTGGTCTATAAGTAATTGTGTGAACCAGTTTTTGTAACTTACAAATAGCTTATCACAACTAAACCATAAACTTTATTTATTTTTTAAATTTGTAACTATTCACGACTGCTGAAGCCTAAATTCCACCCGCTGGAAAGTTAAGGCAATGTCATATACATATCAGCCGCAATCACGATGACCTCCCCAGCGAGTGGTAAAGCTCCTTTTTGCCCTTGTCCCGGACAAATGTGAAAATTGTTTGCCGGCGTCGGCCTTTCAGCCTCGAACGACTGTCAAACGCACTTGGAAGTCGAGTTGGAAAGCCGCCAGTTGTTTCGGTTTTTTTTCCACAGCCTTGTAAAGTTACGCAATCGGAGAAAACTCCGGGCACAAAGTTACAATTGCAGGCGGCGAATGTATGGGTGCAGTGGACCAAAGTTGGTCCAACTCTTTGACTGATTAGATGTCCACCGGGGGGACAGTTTAAACTTTAAAGTTGTCCCCATGGCAAAAACAATGAAAAATTCATTCAACTGCACTTTGATTTGTTGCTGCTCGGAGCGAACCATTTGCTAAAAGTCGCCAATAAAGTTGAGCGGAAAAAATGTGGTTACCAGTCCGGATCTCTTTTTACCTGCGAAACCAGCGAAATTAAAATTGGACATGGTCGCAGCTATTTGAAATTTAGATGAACACGACAGCGACGTTTTCGATAGAAGAATTCCAATTTAGTTTAGCATTTGTCGTAAAACTTTTGTTGTTTTTTTTTAAAGCTCTCAAAAACGTACCATTTTCTCTTTATAATTTAATGAATCAAGTGTCCTACAACAATCAATTAAGATCAATTTGAAAGGTGTCTAAAAGTAGGCAAGAATTTAAGAATTATAAAGAATTAAGTCCGAAAAATGGCATTATAATTTTAGTGCATACTTTCGGACACATTATAAAGTGATTTTAAAACCCTAATGATTTTTGTATTAATTTGTTAAAAAGTATATAAATAGTTGTACCCTACCAACAGAGTTGCCATGTAAAAGTAAAACGTAACATTATATTACAGTGAGAATGTAAAAAAATAAGAAGAACAACAATACCAACAATTTATGCCCATACATAAAAGTATCAGTAAAAACGTAGGACCGAAACAACAAAAAACGGCTGTAAAAGCCAGTCAGTAGTAAAAAGTAGTTTATTTAAGTAGCAAAGCGCGAAAAATGTGTTTTTTTTAAGAGATGTCGTAAAGGATCCCCCCTTCATGCGCGGTGTATTTGCATATGTGGGAGTGTGTCAACTTCTGTCTGTGTCTGTGTGTGTGAGTTTTTCGCTTCTGTTTGCTTATTTAAGTCGTTTGCAATTTCTGCACTTTTCTTTGCACAACCAACGCATAAAAAATAACATACAAATGCAGCTTTAG